AATCAGGTCTTGACGTCTTCACAGACATCTGAGAAGTGCTCAGAGACAGAAGGTTGGCATGGTTTGACCGCCTGTCAGGAAGCTGACAAACTTCATTGATTCTTCAGCTGCTTGCGTGGGATCCGAAATACGACTGACATCGGCTGCCAGCACATCACATGGCAGAGGAAAATAAGCTAAAATCTGTTGTCGGTGATGAACCTTCCATGCGTTTACTCGTTGAACAGCTGTCAGTATCAAAATTCGTTTTGCCGAGATGAGCGGATATCACTCATTTTAATCTGCCTACGGTTTTGTAACCCGGCTAAAAATGATAATGACAGAAAAGCAGCAGCAGCTGTGGTACTTGAGAATAACGTATCGATTTCTGATACCGGATTTACTCGGCATAAGTGCACCTTCCGTTGCTTTTACTCGCCTAGAGGGACCATTTAAACAAGCTTCGTCTCCGTGGTATTTGATCACCTGCAATGCATTGCATGTAGGTTTGCGTCTTTAAATTACGTTGAACAATGACGCCTTACGGTATCAACAAAACCTGCCATTGTCTGTAGGCAGACAGAAAGACAAATCATAACTCGGTTGTTCCAGAGTAGCTATCGAGCCTAGTAAATTCACTGTATAAGAAATCGAAATGCTAGGATTAGTAACAGTTTTGGAAAGTTACGAACTGTTGGTTATGCCTGAATACGTGAATTATGATTTGCCTATGTACTTGAAAACTTTACATTGTTTCATTGACTGGTGCACCTTGATCGTTCCAAAAAGGTTCACGAGCCAGTACTGCTTTTGCGTTTTCACAGCTTCTATTGACAGAAAATGTTTGTTGATGATCCGTAGTGAATTCTTATCCTTCGTGGAAAGCATATTAGAAATAAGGACTTTTGAAATATGATTGGTGATGAACCAAATATTGCCAATAAATTAATGCGATATGCATCTTCTACTGCCATTAGTCTTGTATCATGGTGCTACATTGTGATTAAGCAGTGCCATAGCGCCATATAACTCGTTATACTAGAATTCTGTTTATTAATTATAACAGCCGACGACGACTAGCATGACCTCTTTAGCTGACTGTTTCGATTTTGTGGCAGTCGTCGGTTAGATTGCAAATTTATATACGAGACGAATCAACTCTGTCGCGTTTACCCCGTGATTCCATTGAATTTATAGTTTATGATAGAGATTGAATCGAGATTTTTTTGCAATTTTTCTGTTATATTGTTTGAGATTGTCAAGGATGTCTAAACTTCCTTGCCAGTTTTGCTCTGTGTTCCATGAAAATACATCACATTTACTCCGTAGCATATGGCAGGGTTCTGTCATCTGTTGGAAAAAAACCAACCTTCCCTATGGGTTGTAGGCTCAGCAAATTTTTATGATGACCGGTTATTCATCAGTCGAGAAAGATATCCATACTGGATTCCAGAGCACGACATTTTCGAATGTTCAGCGAATACCCTAGCCATCTGGATGTACAGGGTACAGCTACGGACTGCGCACAGCAGTGTTTGCTTCGACCATGATGAGGGTTAAATGGCTGGAAAATGGTAAGGAATGACTACGTGCTGTGGATGTGGAGAAACGAAGTTTGGCCCTGTTAGAAGTGCTGATTGAGCTCAAAACATCTACTCCAGCCCATCAGTTCCTGGTTTCGGAGCCGTAACGTGGCAGACGTGGACCAGGAAGCCAACGTACAATATCTACTTTCGGAGAGGAATATTTCCTTCTACGATGGAGTAATTGGTTCCCTATAACAAAAATGTTGAACAATTGCGGATTCGGCGGAAATCGTTCTGATTATGCAGACGGTTCAAAGTGATGATCTCAACAAACGCAGTAATAATGCAACCATTTATCCCTTGGTCTGCTTTTTGACCGTCTGCCGTATGGCATTACCGAGAGAGTCTGTCGAGAGTTTTTCCTCTGATATTCAGGCCATGTGTCTGAATTGTCGTAATTGCAATCTGTCCAGTTGAAAAGGAGGCAACTCAAGCAATGGAAACTCTGATTGTCGTGTTGTGAAACTCGTCACACTGGCGACCAATCGAAGGAACCTCATTTCTGTCGTTTATATCTCCATCGCACTTTTGTTCAACATTCCCTGTGCAATTTTTTCAAACTGAATTTTTTCAATTTATTCTGGTGTAAACCAGTCTTCTTGATCTCCATCAAAAAGTCACACCGATTTACATTCCCGTGTAGAGAAGATTTAGTGTAGGTTTAATAAAACTGTCGGGTACGCATTTGTTGTACAAATTGATCTATCGAGTCTTTTTTCGTGTTTAAAGGAAATTGCTTTATTAATCATTTATGCTTTTCTTTCTTATTATTGCGGTAATTTGTTGCAAGTTTTTGCAGAGTTTCTGTTTTGGATTCATTACTCCAGTAATTTAGTTTTTTTATATTTAAATTTATTCGCCTTGTTTTTTCTTCTTCTTAAGAACTGTCTGGTTCTTTGCAGTGTTGCTTCAAAGATGATGAATTTTGGCGTTTTAATGGTTGCATGTTTTTCGTTTTCTTCGATAGATGTCACGAGGAATCTTTTTACCACCGGTAGTCTCCACCCAGGTGGCTGCATCAGACAGCGCTGATGAATGGGAGACCGACCCAGATTTCGTAAATGATGTCGGCGAACAAGAAGGCCGGTGGGGTTCCAAGACGGTTGAGGGCTCCGGCCATCAAAAAGGTGCGTTGGACCT